TAATAATAAAGTCTATACACTTTTCTTAACAATACTGGTTTCCTAATCAGCAAAATGAGCAGTAGCTATTTTATTTTTTCCTTTTCAAAACACTTTTATGTTTATTTTTGTAACTAAATACAAGAAATCTATCTAAAAAACCTATAACAAGAACATTTTCTTAGGAAAAAAATTAATAAGAAAAAATACTCTCCAAAGGTTCTTAAGAGATTCAAAAATCTAAAGAAACAAGAATAAAAAAGTCTCCAGTCTCATTATCATTTTTTTGACTTCATACTTTTTCTTTTTTAAGTATATTTCCTTTTTTCTGATTTTTTGAAATAATTTTGTCTACCTCAGTTTAATTTTGAATTTTTGATTATATTGAATTTTTTGAAAGATAATTGGTCAAGGCTATGAATTAGTTGATTATATCAGTTACAGAAAAAGTAAACAAGATACATATTCCTTACATGTTCCCAATTATATAATATCAAATTGATGATGTGATTGGTTCCTGAAAGAGTTAAATAATTCTTAGTTGAAAGTATAGTATAGAAGTATTAGATAAAGCAAAAATTGTGAGTAGAAGAGAAATGAATCTTTTTTTTTTTTGTTTTCTTATTCTTTCTTGAGAACAAAAAGTAGCAACAAGATCTAAATCCTATTTCAATCTGGTAACAAGTTGAAGTATTGATATTTATTCTAAAAATAGTTAAAGTAAGAAATTATAAAACTACTTATCAATTGAGTGAAGCAGTAATTTCAAAAAGACATGACTTGGGAAAAAAATCAACAATAAAAAATTAATATCTTTTCTAGTTAGTTTTTAAATATAAAGTTTCAAGAAATACTTACCTGAAAGTGTTTTTAAATGTTCTTGAATATTAATCACTTTAATAAAAATTAAACAATCTAGTTAACCACAAGTGGTAAGAAGTAAGAAATCATAAAAAACTTGGGTTTTAAGTTCATTGAGATAATCTTTTCAATGATAATTAGAATAAATGATAGCTTTTTTACTTTTTTTTCAATTACTTCTTATATATACAATTGTGCTGTTTTTTCTTTTCTATTTTTTTTTTATTTCTTTTTCCCCTTATATAGTTTTTACAAAAGGGGAGTGACACAATTTGGATTTATTGATTGTGACAGTAGAGATGATCTGTAAATTATTATCCTATTGGAATATTGAAATCTTAATTTTTTTTAACAAGAGAATAATATTTTATTTTCATAAATTATATTTAAAGACTTTGGCTATTAACAAGTAAGTTAAATCAAGGAAATTTTTTACTTTACAAATATTCTTATACTTGTAATGATTTAGTTTTTGATTAAATAAATAAATGATATTAGTCTAATTATGAAATTAAAAAAAAATAAAAAAATAAAAATAAACTAATTAGTTTTACTTAAATAAAATTGTTAGTTTTTGTTTATTTTAATACAACATTTATATATAATTTTATTATAGTACTATTTACTGTACCATTTTAAAATTCTCAAAATTTTTTTTTCAAAAAACCAAAATTAATTTATCTACTTTAAATAATTATTGCTTTCCAATTATTTAATCAAATTTTATTAAAACAATAAAAAAAAACTGAATCAATTCGAATTGGTTTTTCAATATAATAATAATAACAACAATTACCATAACAATAAACAATATCAATTATACTTTACTATTTATATCAACAAAAGCAATATTAACAAGTAACAAGGAATTGACAAAATGAATTATTAAGCCAAATTAGGAATTTTCTTGAGAACTTTAATTTTATTTATATAGATTTTATAATTTAAATGACTTAATTATAGTTTCAATAGCCTATATTATTATAGTTCCAGTTTATTTTTTCTCTCAATTTTCTTTTACTTTTAAATTTTTTTATATTCAATCAAAAATAATTTTGAGTAAATGGATATAGTTGCTATTTAGTATATTTAGCATATATAATATTGTTTTAAAAAATTTTTTTAATATTAGTTAAATATAGATATGTATGTAAATTAATATTTAACTTGTTATATTTTTGAATACAAGAGATGTTGTTTTTTTCATTATGTATATAACTTTTTTATATAATATTATTAATAAAGAAACAATGTTTATCTATTAGAAAAAAAAAATTAAAAAAAAATTTTTTTAATATTAAGGTGAGACACTTCTCATAATCTTTATTGATAGAGTAAATATATAATATTATATGATCAATATTGAGATATATGATATATGACTATACATATCAGTCTATCACTTATTGTAGTATCTATATTTTAAAAGACTTTAAGTAGACAAAAAAAGAAAGAAACTATCTACTAAGAAAAATAAAAAATAAAAAAACATTTAAGACAAGATTGCTGATTTAGTAAAAGAAAGAAAAGTAATAAAAAAGAGATATTGGAAAAGTATTGATACTTTTGTTAGATGTGGTTCCTGAATGCAAATAAATGTTTTAGTCAGATAATGGCATAATGCAAGCCACATGTAACTCAATAAGTTTGATCAAGTGATTTTTGTGATATGTTGCTATTATATAGTATGGTTGTATTATAGTATTATAGTAGAATAACTGGAATATGTTCCAGATATTTGTTGTTTCGTTGTAATGGGTTGTTGTGTATTGTGATTATCAGAACCTGTGCAAAGTACTGATTACACGCTTTTTCAATCTGGTAGATTGTTGTGTTACTTTGATGTGATTTAATAATACAGAATATTATTGATGTCTTATGTGTTGTAGATCTTTTGATAGGGTAAGCTGATTTCGGTTTTTTGTATATGGAAGTGAATGAGGATTGACAACTAACCAGAAGGTTATACCAATTAATTTGGCACTAGTTATTATCGGCAGAAAACAAAACCTCTGAAAAAATAAAATATTACCTCTTGAGAAAAAGATTGTATTTAATTTTGTATACATTTTTTGTGATGTAATAGGTAGTAATATGTATAAATATGGTAAAAAGTTTTTCCTTTGTTTGAAGGTTACTTATATAGGTTTCACTTAGTAAAACAAAGGATTTAATTAAAGAAGTTTTTGTTACTCTCAAAGCATCCATCCCTTTATGGAGAGTTAATCGACCCCTTGCACCTTGCAGAAAGCTAAGATGAACTCTTCTCTTAGGAAGAGGTTCTTGCTTATTGTTTACTGTCTACTGTTCATGTTGTTACCAAAAAAGGAAATTTTTTACGAATTAAAGAGTTGTGGAAAAGAATTTTTTCAAAAACTAAAAAAAAAAAAATTAAATTAAATTAACTATTAAGTTAATTGTTATTTAAAAATTCTAATATAATTAAAAATTTAGAGTTAAATTGAAATAAACAAAATTTTTCAAAAAAAGAAAAAAAAATTTACATGTTTAAAAAAATCAAATAAGAGTTTAAGAAAAATTAAAATCTTTACTAATTTATAATAAAAACCTTACTTTATGTAAATTGTACTTTAGCTTTTAATATATATATATATAGTATATTATTTGAAGTTTTATTTTATTATTACCAAGTATTAAATAAAATAAAAATATGTTATTGTATTAAGAAATCAAGATTTTTTTTTTTGCAATTATGATCAAGATATTTTTTTTATTCAAGTTATATAATTTTTCATTTTTTTATACAGTATATCATTCAAAAAATTTTAAAATAAATGTTTCTTAGTACAATTTACATTATATCCTTTTATCTTTTAAATTTTAAAAAATATTACGTATTTATTTTAAATAAAAGCATCGAAAAATATTTTTTATAGTAATATTTTTATTTGAATACTCAACATATAATACTGTAAAATTGAGTACGTTTAACTTAACGTGAACCCTAAGCATGAAACGAATGATATCATTTTAAAAGCTCGCGGCGTTTACTCCTGCCGAGACTTCCGGATCCTTGGCGACGTAAGGTACACACGTACATACGCGTATATACACTACATCATAAATACGAAAGCAGCATTGTTTTGCGGGGTCTAAATAACTACGTATCGGAGGTACGTGATGCTTGAATGAATGAGCACGTATCAGAGAGTAAGTTACGTTAGCGTACAGTATTTCCTTTCTTTGTTATCGATATATGTTTACCAATAATGGATGAATGGAATCTGGTTTCTCGATTCTCTAGGGAAGCTTTGAGGGTACATGATTAGGACCAAAATGGAAAACAAGGGATTTACGAGTGCCAGGGTCGTCTAAGATAAACTTGTTTGGGATTTACCATACAAACATGTTTTCCAATCTCCTGACTACTCCTTAACGTGATGTATGTTAGTTCGCGCATCGCGATCCCTTAAACGCATATCCCCCCCCTATGAGGGAATCTTGTCGTAATGCAACGGTGGAAATTTGCCACTCGTTTGCATTTTCTCTCTTTGGACATCAGAAACGTGTTGTAATAAATTCAAAATTGAGGCTTTGTCGGTGGGATGTTTACGATTTACACATTTAAAACTAGAATGACATCCAGAATTGTATGACATTGAAGGATCTGGAAAGATATTTCTTTTTATCAAAACACACGTGCATATCGAGATCGGATGATTTTTTGGGAGAAGGGAAAACAATTACGACATCTTGAATTGTTTTGAAGGGTTCACAATAAATTTGTCTAGGGTGGACTTGACCAGTAAAAAGCTACGCATGATATACAAATTTTCATGCGCACGAGTCCTCTTTTACCCGTTTCATTAGAATATCCAACACTTACCCTTATCCCTGCAGCAAACTGATGGTTAAAGACCAACGGTGGGTTATTCCGGTAAACCTGTGAATATGTGCGGCACTGGTCGTTGGATATCACAAGCACGCGGCATGTGTTACACCGCAAGGAAGGTGTGATGGAAGGTCCCGGTGAACTTCCGTTCCTGTGGCGAACGGTTTTTGAAATTGTTGTCTTAAATTGCTTTGCAGCGTTTTAACCAAAACGGCAATTCTCAAGATTGTCGACTTTTTTGTATTTGGATAAAGCTCGTCACGGAATTGGCGTGATTGTTAGATTTTAATAGATTTGCACAATACCGATGCACTCTTTGGTCACCAATGCAGTTCATCATGTTACACCGAGAGAATGGACCAACGGACACACCAATGATAAATCACAAACCATTCATTTCTTAATTATCGAGACATTCATTAATATCGTGGCTGCGTTAAAAAAAAAAGAAGTCGGTCTCCGTGTACCTAAAGTAAGTACTCCACAGATTTGCGTGGTACCAAATTACATACACACATAACGTCCCTTAATATAGCCATGGGAAATGTAATTACGTACATCATCATTATACAGGGTGGTGTTATCAGGATGATATTTTTAACCACGAATGGAATATCGCTAAAGTCATCAGGACAACAAAATAAGGTATCGATACGGGATGTTCCTTGATGCACGAATTAGGAAACTTGTAAAACATATCTGGAATGAATGAATACGATATAAGGAAGTGGTGGTTATTATGGTTATTATGTCAAAGAGGTAGAGATTTTCTATATTTTTTTCGGGCTTTCCAACGTTTGAATTTTTTGAATTTCATCATTATATGATACGTAATTTGTACAGTATAAGATAATCTGTATGGCAGGAAGAAACACCGTCTGTTCGCTAGCCCTTTTTGGACACCAGGTGCTCTTTTTGGCATCTTTTTTGAAAAGCAAGGTTTTTTTCCTTCAGAACACATGCACCCACTAATAAGAAGGGAATTCCTTAATTTATCGTCATTATTATTCTTTGTGTGATGTTGTATTCGTTTCAATGTTGAGAGACGGACAAAGAGACCTGCATCATACGGGGATCGCTTCCGTGTCACATTCTCAAATTTATTGCTGTTTCTTATGGGCTTCGTATCAAATATTATGCACGCACAATTATTGCACAAATGTTACAAACATGCATTCCCTCTCTCGATCTATCAGTTATTGCATGAACAAAAGGAAAAAAAATTTTTTTTTTTTTTTAAATAACCAATTCATTCTCATTTCCTTCCTTTGCGCAATTTCGAATCTCCGTATATACACACATACGTACGTAGCCGACTGTGCGACGTACAAATATCATATCATCACTGATCTCTGTTCACCTGTTCGCCGTGCAACCTCTAGAAAATTGTAAATCGGGTACCTCAATCTCCAACCTCCCTCCCAAATAACAATTGCTTTTTATAATAATTATCAATAATTGCACTAATCTATTAATATCAAAATGATAATTACTTTTTGACATCAATTGTATTGAAAATTCGTCTATAATTTTTTTTTTCACATACTGCTGATGCTGCTGTCGATCAATAACATCCCCAGCACCAAAATCAGAACCCACCGACCCAAACGTTCAAAAAGCGGTTCCAATAATTATTTGGATGATATTTAAATAGCACCCCTATTTATAAATTTGCTGCTATTCTTGCACCTCGACACAAAAAAAATTCCTGTAAATTTTGACTTTTTCTTTTCTCATCCTTCTTTGATAGGTAAGATAACCTCTTTTCTGTGGTGTCCCTATTCATAGAACATCTACCACATAAAGTAGTTTTATTTATCACACATATTCGCATACAATACTATGTTTTTTTTTGAGGAGCGGCGGTGGGTGGTTTGAACTGTGGTAAAAAAAGACAGCCAAGAATAACGCAGACTCACACAAACGCGTCCTAAAAAAAAAAAAAAAAAAAAAATTTTTCCTTCAATATCACAAGCGAAGCTAACCTTTAGTTTTTCTCTTTCAATAAAACAAAAATTATACCAACCCTCCACCAACGCAACCACAAAAAATTATTTTCTTCCTCGTTGCAAAAAACTGGCGGTTCCCTCTTCAGCATCGATCTTTCTTTTTTTTTTTGCCGACGTAAACCTGCTTTCGTTGTCTTTATAAAACGTGAGTATTCTTTGCTAATGCTGTCTCATGTGCAAAAGTGGTCTTCTATTAGTTAAACACACTTTTTTTTTTTTTATTCGAATGTCACCGTAATTTTCGACGTAATTGTTGTCACAAAGGAGCACTGCGAATTCTCAAAAAGATTCCCCCACTTTGTCCAGCACCGAAACTCGTTCCCTTCTTCTGTTGTGCAACGAAAGTTGACTAACTCTGAAAAATTATTCCGTTTTTGGTCGATAGTTCAAGAGAGTGAAAAAAAATCATGGGTCGCAAGAAGATTCAAATTAAACCAATCAAGGACGAAAGGAATCGCCAAGTAAGTTATGATAACACCCATTTTGTTAATCGGTTTTTTGACTTATCAGCTGCTTTCGGAAATGAGGATACTTTCGCTGAATTCCATTTCACGTAGTTCCATTATTTCCTCTATGCATAGCGGTGGTTGTTGGTTTCCTAACTCGTTGCCTTCTTTCAAAATCAATGCTATTCTAATAATCTATCGGTATTTATCTACCCCGTGATTTATTATCTCCCGACAGGTAACCTTCCTAAAACGAAAGTACGGACTCATGAAGAAGGCCTATGAACTTAGTGTACTGTGCGACTGCGAAATCGCCCTGATCATCTTTAATTCAAACAATAAACTTGTGCAGTATGCGAGTACGGATATTGACAAGATTCTGTTAAAGTATACCGAGGTAATTTCTTCATATTCATCAGGATTCCGAGAACTTGTGGTTAACTTGCTAATCGTTTAACTTTTCTAACAGTACAACGAACCTCACGAAAGTAAAGGCAATCATGATGTAAGATGTGGTCTCAAGGTTCCTCATTGAATTCGGATGCGCCGTGCTAACTTTATTCTCAATGTGAACGCAGTTTGCTAACACCACCGATAATGATGACGACGATAATCCTCCACCAGGATTTGATACCACCGATTCAAAGGTTTGTTGACTTAGTAAATTCACACGCACATGTACACATACACGAGAGAATGCACACGCAGACATTTTATCTCCAAGTTTTTATGTGCTTACCCACCCCACTTGTGATTACTAAACTAATAGCAATATGGTGGTATGCCTTCCCCACAGCAGAATTACAATCCATCAGTTGGTGGTAATTACCAGATGAACAATTATCCAATGTACACTCAAGCACCGCATCAATACATGGTTCAGCAGGTATGAATTCGCAATCGTCTTCTATTTCCTCTCTCTCATCCTACCTACCATTTTATTCGTTCTTGGTTATTCGCACGTGTATTATCTTTCTTTTTATGATCACCCAAAATTCATACATCTCTGGCGCGGTGGATCCACTATATTCATTTACAAATACAGACCCAACAATTTTATTCACAGGTTCCCCAGACTATGCACCAATCGATGACCGCCATGAGTCTTCCTATGAACACTGTACCATTGCAAGTTTCGTCCGCTGCAAATTCCGTGCCGATCGATGTTTCCACATCGATGGCACCTCCGACTCAGCTTACAGGCTCTACCGCGCCTAGCATAACCATGTCTCAACAAACTTCTCCTGATATTGAAGCTCCTCTTAGCGGCGAACTTTTGTCTCCCTCTCTCATATCCCCTTCACCAAAGAAGCCAAGACTTCGTGTTCATATTCCGGATGCCAAGGAAAAACAATCCGCTCCTGGCGCAGGTCAACAATCACAGTCGACTCAACAGGATCAATCTCCTGAACAAGATGAGACACCACCGGACTCTCAACCGATGGGGACACAACCAGTAAGTACTTCTCTATAGGTTCATTCACTTCGCGTCTTACCATGGTTTTTTTCTGATCTCATTCTCCCCCGTCACTGAAAATGTGTGATGATAAGACACTGTCGTCTCGTCCTACGCCGGCCACCACGGAGGCAGGCCCGACTTCTGCTTTACCGTCGTCACAATTTGCACATAATTTGCCATCTCCTTCAACATTCTTCTCAGAATTCTATAAAACAACTGAACTGCCTAGTCCCCTTACTTTCGGAAATACGCCTACTAGCGCTAATCCTAGTGCTTTTCCTTGGCCCGCTCCGCGCACAACTTATCAATCTTCGCCGTTGGCAAAACACGAGAGCAATTCAAGTTATTCGAAAGGACGTCCTGCGCCAATCGAAGATGACAACAACGATGAACCAGATAAGAAAAAGACGAAACAATAGTAACACTAGTTATGGTGGTAACTGCCACACGAAAATAACAAATAACCTGAAGTCTGGACAGCTGTGAGAAACTAAAATGACCTCATCACGTTTTCATGTTTAGACTTGAAACATTCCTTCGTGGGTGTTACTTCCTTTATTTCTGGATGGATTTCTTTTTTTTTCGCATGGACTTTTTTCAAAAATCAAAAAAAATAATTTTTTTTTAAAACATTGGTTATGGTTAAAATTACGTTCGTGGACGAAGAGACTTAATTGGTTATAAGCAAGCCTTATCGAACTAGATTGTTAGGTGGTTTGGTACTATCAGTACCTACAAATTACTTCTATGTCGGGCAATGATGGTGTGGGATTTTATCGAAAACTTGTATAATTGACAAAAGATCGGGAAATTAATTTTTTTTTCTTTGGACTTTTTATCTTTTCTTTTTTAATGTATCGGACTATCATCACAAAAAAGACTATCTCTTTCAAAATTTTTGAATCGACTCAACATTACATGTTACACAGTGATAGTAGTTGTCACTGTTAATAATTAAGTATGATGGTGATTGACATCGTAGTTTTCTCTTTTTTTTTTTTTTTTTTGACCTCGGTGAAAGTTTTTTTTCTTTACCACTATCAATACTAATTTTTTCAAAGCTATTTGAATTTTTTATTTTTCCTATCTCCCGCGAGGTCACTGTGTATAGTACATAAAATCTACTCGGTTTTATTTGTAAAAAGGGTGTCAAGGCTGCGAGCAGTGAGCAACCCCGCTTTGATGTAAAGCATTGTTTTTTGCAATATATCTAATTATTCTAGTCGAGTAGTTCATTGCAACTAAGCTTTTATTGTTCAGTTTTAGTCGAGATTATATAGTTCAGATCTGGTATAACTAATTGAAGGTTGCGTTTGACCGTTAACTTTTATTTTCAATGTAAATTTCTGTTGGGATAAATAAATTTGTATTTACATCTCAGAATCGATGTCACTTTTAAATAGTAAAATTACCAGTCTGTAAAGATTACCTAAATTTACTTGTTCTAATGCTAAAACGAAGAATGATTTTTAAGTGCCAAGAATTGAAAAAAAAAAAACAATATTGCAGACACATTACTGTATCTTATACTCTATATACTATATTTAATATTTTTTAAATCCATCAGTGATTTTTTATATAAATAGAATATGGAAAAAATAAATCTTTCACATATATCATATCATATCATATTATGCTGTACCTCAGTATCACATGAAAATTATAAATTCATCATCTTTAATTAAATTATTAATCCCATTTTGTTTATCAGATTGATTGGAGTCATGATTTTTTTTTATAAAAGATAATAATATACTGTATATTTTGATGAAAAAATATTTGATGTTAATTAATATTTGATCAAATAAACAAATAAAATTCAAATATGCAAAAATGATATTTTGATAATTTTACAATTTTGAAAATACAATTTGATACAACAGGTGAATATTTAATTGTTGTATTTAAAAAATTTCAAAATTAAATTTAATAATATTAATTGGATTTATAAAAATATATAATAATTTATTTTGAATTGTTATTATTATATAGATAATTTAAATTGTTTTTGATTATTAAAATTATATATGTGGTTGTATTTCAATAGAATTATTTCAATATGAAATCATATTACCGTATACCACTGCATACAATACCCCCCAAATACCTTTCCCCAAATATTACTCCTACTAATAATACTGGGTAGTATTCAAGAAAATTGTTGCTTAATAATTGATTACTACCTGGGTATATTAATATAATAATAAGTAAGACTAGTATGTATTTTGAATTTTATAGTAATGATATACCCTGCCACTAATACTACTCCCCTCCTAGTAAAATACCCAGGATATTGTATGCAGTGGTATATAGTAATATTTAAAAATATAATAAAAAATATTAAAAAACAATATTAATCAGATATTATAATTAAATTAGAAACTGCAAATAAAATTGAAAATTATAAAATATATACTATATAAATATATTTATAAATAATTGTTTTATAACATATATTTTAAAATATTCAACAAATAGAATCAAATATTGAAACTAATATATTATTTTTTAAGTTTTTCTTTAGTTAATAAAAATATTTCTAATACAAAATCACAATCAGATTTTAAAAAAAGTACAATATAATAATATTTTAAATTTATTGGTTTAAAAAATAATAAACATTAAAAATGCAAATACAAATACTATAACTAAATATAAAAAATTAACAAACTTAATTTAATAAAAGCATATTTAATAATTAATTGTTATAAAATATCTAAGAATAAAAAATATTTATTTAAATTTAATAAGTAACAAAGATAATATCAATATTAATAAATAATAATCAAAAAATCAAAAATCTAATATTAGTAATAAAAAAAAAATTAATAATTTTTATTGATCTGCAATAATTAATTTTAAAACAATAAAATTAATAAATAAAGTTTTAATTGTTTACTATAAAATTCCATTTTTAACTAAAATCTATAGGTTTATAACTCAATAATAAAACTCTATAGATTATCAGGTAAAGGTCTAAAGTTCAAATCCACCTGATTACAAAAATTTATCACAAATCCTTCTTAATTAGACTACATAAATATGGAACTTTTGACCTTTCCTGTGATTATATGAAAAAAGACTTTTGATCTAATTTCAGTTAATCTTATAGCAAGTTACACAAAAACATTATATCAAAAATTTGAATATATAAACAGGATTGTATTCCATTTTAATCAAACCTGTTTATACATATAGAGATTAATTCTAGTTGATTAAGATTATATGAAAGAAGATAAACAGGATATCTTAAATTAATTGCTTCAAAAAAAGTTATCTTGTATCTATACAGTCCTATAACTTGCTAGAAGTTGGCACAATCCAGATCAGTGGCTTATGGAAAAGTGTAGAGTCATTAAACTAAAATGGAGATTATCAGAAAAGTTTTCACTTATAAAGACAAGATTTTCTTACCCTTGTTACTAGTAGAGTTGATCAAATTAAGAAACCAATGAGATAAGCCACTTCAGGAATGTAATCTGTTTTATTGGATATGAATTAATAGATAAATTGCTAGTGTTAAGTTATACTGTATATAATATAAATGATATTTGATATATACTTAATATTATATATTTATAAAGACAGTATCTAATATGATTAGGGCTCCTAATGATACCACTTCGATACCACTTCAATATCAGTTCGATACTTAAATTTACTATAAAAACATATGAGTAGATTACAACCCATATATTAAATTTATTATAGATCAGTACCATTTTGATACCAGTTTGATACCAGTTCAGTACTTTTTCAGAGCCCTAAATATGATTTATTATAAATAAATAAAAAATTTCATTTTTAACTATCAACTATTTATTTTTTTATAATTTTATTTATATTTTATATCCTAACTATATGTCATTTTGTCAAACTAAATTATCTTAAAATTATTTGATAGAAAACTAGAGTTTTGCTTAATATTAAGCAAGAATTAAAATATAAAAATAATTTAATATTAGATATATTTAATATTTAATAATATATAGTTTTATTATCTGCAAATCTCAAAATTCTTAAAAAAATTTTTTTTTGATAATACTAAAAAAAACACTCAAAAACACTTAAAGAAATACTTTAAGAGAATATTCAAAGAAAAACTTTACAATATCTTCTTGAAAATAAAGAAGAGCAAATAGAACAGGTATACTGTGGATTCAAAAAGTATATTAATTCTTCTTTATTTCTCAATTTTAAAAACAGATACTTGTAATTTCTTACTGGGAAAGAAGAAAAAACAAAGAATACAATTTACAGTAAAATTAAAAGAGAAAGTCAGCACTATACTTCACAAGTAGCCAACTAGTTATGCACCAGGTTAGATATCTCCCTAGACACTAGCAGGACTCAATATTGGCCAGATCACACTAGGTAAACCAGATAGCCTCATATATTAACACAAAATCAGAAAGATATCAAGACCTTCTCATTACTGTAATTGAAAAGAAAAGTACAGATTTCAATATTTTTGAAGATAAACAATATCCATTATGTGATTAAATTTTTGTTGGAAACAAAAAATCAAAGACAGGTTACTCCCTCCCAAATATTAACAGTAATGTGAATATATACTTTTCAAAACCAAACAATAACAATAACTGTCAAATAAATAAATACAACAATCCAAAATGTGACATGTGTACATAACAAATCCAAAGTTTATTAAAATTAGTTTACTTCCAAAGCAAGATCTGCAGTAGCACAAACATACTATCATTTCAAATAAAGCAAAAAACATAATTAGGGCTTATCAAAACAAGCAGATCACAAATAACTTGGCAAAACATGTATCAATCTCAATCCTATACTTCAAAAAGTGATAACTACACTATACAACAAGCTGTTTTAAGCAATTCAATATACATCAAACAAGTAACAAATTAAGTTGGTTTACATGTGTTAATTTAGCAAAAGTCCAAAACAATAGTTAACTCCAATTCAATTCAAATAGAAAATCTAATAATAGAATACCTCAAAACAATTAAAGACAACCACAATAAAGAAGAACAAATATGATTTTATATATTGATTAAAAATGATGCAACAAACACAGCATCAGAACTGGTAGAGTTAGGAGCAATAGTAAACATCACAGTCATAGATACAGTAGTGGCAAAGCTTTTCAATATCAATTTACATATAGCTGTAAAATGGATGTTGGCTAAAAAATACATTAAACAAATCTGGGTGTTCAACCAATTAGACATAAACATATTAAACAGATACATATTAGAAGACTTACAACAAGTGGCTCAGATTGTTGATATCCTATATTCAGTTCAAGACCCATGATATGCACAAAACAAAGATTCAGAAATTATATTACCTTTCAGACAACCTGTGACAAGAAACTATAACCATAACTATTAACAATAAATAGTCGAAAGGGGTAAAGAAAACATGTTAGAAAATTACA